GTATTAGTATGGTGTTCATAATAATCCTTTAGGTGAGTGTATATCTATAGTGGTGCATCCTGGCAGCCCATCTTCTCAGTGGCCGCCATGGTTTATTTGTCATAATAGCTATTTAATAGTCAAGCTTTAACTCTTTTTTTATAACCATGCATTCATTGATTGTTGCCCAGTTGCCTGTTCCCTCCATCAATATAAAAACAGATGCTATTTTTATGTTTATGGGGGGAACAGGCTAGTGGGCAATGAGAATCATTGTAAGCATGCTCGTTAAAAAATAGTTAAAGCTTGGGTATAAAATTATTATTTTAAAATAGATAAAGCATGATTTGATTTTAACCTAGCTGCATGTCAATGTTCCTCTTCATTGGCGATCTTTATCTTCTGGAGAAGTTCTTTGTGGTGTGTAGTCAATCGAAAAACCAGGAGCCAATAGCACTCGCCAACAGAAATGGCCATGAGCTCTCCCCCAACCTATCAAAACCACCCCCATGCCAAAACTCAAGCACAAAAATTTCACTGGAGCACAGAGAGCAGCTGAAGGCAATCTACTGGGTGTGCAAGGAAAACTATGAAGAGGAAAAAAACATTGGAGAGGGAAAAAAACACAGTCTGAGCGTGAAATTATGATAGATGTGCACACAGCTCTTCTTTCTGTGTTCACGAGTTTTACACTTGCTCTCATGATTGGGATATTTACCCAGGTTTATATTTTTCATGTTGTATTGTAGCACTCTCTAGTTTTGGCATTGACGTGACGCGATAACCGCCCCCCCCCCCCCCCCTCGGTTGACAACCGACAGCCTAGGGGCTGGGGTGCAAGCAGTGAAGCTTGCCTAGGGTTCCATATACGTTTCAAATGCTACTGTGTATTTGTAAGTGTAAGAGAGTGCTCCCTCAAAGATCCAAGTAGTTATGGATGTTTAGCGACTGGGGATCCAAACAGCACATATACCTTTCGACACAGTGGTGGCAGGAATGTCTTCTAGGAAGCTACTGAGGAACATGCCAATGACTTCGATATCTGACAGGGCATCTTCAGTATAGTCACAGATTTCCCCATCGGATCAACATCTTATACATTTGAGTAGCCCCGGAGCCATACTGGAGGAAATCCTCCAGAAGAGCACTGTCGACATTCCAGTTGAGGGTTTTCAAATATGGAATCTTATTATGTAGGAAGGGAAGAATGCAGAGAAGAAAATGCTACCATTCCTCACTGAGACACTGGACCAAGTGTCTGACCAAGGTAGCAGAGCCTGGCCACCATTATTAGGTTTGACTGAAGCTGAACAGACATCCAGTACCAAGGCCCTGAACTCCTACAAGTAATTAAACTGATTCCAATAAGTAAGATCACTCCTCTTAAACTATGTCTCCTTTAGGGTCTCCTCTTCTGGGTTAAAGATATGGTATTAGAGACACACCCTTGCCACAGGACCAATGTCCATTTTGCAACAGCCATGGGAAAATTGCTTAGACTGCTTAGACTTTCTCATTGATTTCTCATCCTGAATAATATCTCATTTTAAATAACTTTATGCAGATTTGGACTATAGGTATACATACTGTAGGAGTGCCATGTGCATGATGTTGAGATACTAGTTAACGTGATTGTGTGTGACTGTGGAAGTGATCTGCAATGGACTGGCGTTCCTTCCTAGGTGCCTCACGCCAAGTGTTTCATAGGATAGGCTCCAGGCTCAATGAGCCCCTGTGCTGGAAAAACAATTACAGAAAATGGATGGTTAATAGAACTAATGGGGCCAAATCTGCACCAGTACTAAAGACTTTTTAAACAATGGAAGATGGCTTGAATATTTGTTTGTATTACACGTCATCATGATGGGGAGTCCTGTGTGTTTTTTAATCAAATATAACAAAGAAGAAACATACATTAGATAAAACTAAGGCATTGATACACTGAGCAATCCTTTTTCTTTATTCACTTTTTGTTCCATTTCATAATGTCATTTTTTTTCTAGATTTTTTTAAATTAAAATTTGACACACATATAAAAGACAGCATCTGCATAGAGTTGTCATTTTAAAGATCAATGGAGAAAGAGCTAGAAGAGGGAGAGAGTTGGAATACCGGCACATCACACTAACTAAACAGAACAGCAAACAGCAGTACAAGTAAAGGAGAGACAGATTACATTACTATACGCACACACACACACACAAAAAAACAGGACACAAGTTGCAAATTCCAGTCAAAGTTGCAACAGTCATTCATCCTGTACTTTTCAATACTTAGTTATCCCTTGTAAATTCTTGTGAAATCAATCTCTGTTCTAGTCAGCTCCCCATTGGTGGGTGGTAATGTTCCCACACCAGGTATCTGTCATTTGCCAATAATTTGTTTTGAACCTTGTTGAAATCCAATTCAGTTTTGAGTAATGATGCCATATTGATTGAAACATTATTAGCACTTTCAATGTTACTTAACATTACTCCTGATGCAACCATATAATGAAAATTTATTCTTTGATTGTTGATGCTGGGAGATCTAAAACGACCAAAATCAGAAATGCAGAAGCCATTTAAATTGAAGTTGATTGCAATGTTTTTTTGTTTGTTTTTAGTGATAGCTTTGTCATAAACTCATTCAAACAGCTATGTGCATGAAGATTAGGTTTTTTTTTTCAAATTGCAAACACATATTAAATTAATAATCAAAAGCTGTGGAACTTCTGGTTATTCTGAAACATCAAATAATCGTCAGTTGTATTAAATTAAATACTTAAACTGAGTTTGAATAAATGCTGAATCTGTTGACACACAGTCATTCTATGCTTGGCTTTCACTTACCTGAGTTCTAATTAGTTTGTGTATATTCTTTTATATACCTTTTCAGACGTTATCAGACAAAAGAATCTCATGTAAAAAAAATTTAGGAATATCACGTAACAAAAAAGTTTCAATGATAAATATGGCAACTGGAGGGTTAACGGGGAGAAAAGAGTTTGAACAACTTCACAACTTTGACAGGAGGTTTTCAGTAGTTTATACATGGACATGCAAGTATTTTTTCTCTTTTCAAGTATTTACAATAATTACAAGACACAGATCCAGTTCAAGTTGACAAAATTGCAAGCATTCAATATTCAGTATTTCTACAATAATTTTAAAATAACGTAATTCACTCCCCTTTAATAATAAATTGTTATAATCGATACCTTCTATTGTGACCCTTATTTTTATTATAAATATTTTATCATTATTATTACTATTAATATTTAAGATTCTGATCTCTTTCTGCAGTCTTATGTTAGAGCACCAGTCCTGTCCCCATGCCCCTCCACCCACTGACATACACAACCTTAATACTGATACAAGGAAACACTGTTTAGAAATTAAGTTATGATCAGGTTATCTCCAGGTTAAGTGAAGCTGAGGGTCACACAGTTAACAAAGCATACTTTCTCCCAGGAAAATTGCAACCTGAAAGTAAAGTTTTTAAGATATTTCTGTAGCTGTTCAATATTATACTACAGATTCAGTGGGAAAAGGAATAACTGAAAGTTTATCCTATTCTGTGCAACCTTTATTTAAAAATGTCTAGTTCAACATAGAGTCCCACACTAATTTATGTTTTATTTAGATCAAAAATTAAAATAAATGTGGTCATGAGAGGTAGAGCCAATAAACTGCATTTTTATATGTTCGTACATCTATTCACATTTACCATCTAACACAGAAGGGATTGTAATGAGAATAGCAAATAAAATTAAAACACGAATGAGCAAATGAGAAGCCTGTAAACAATACAGATAAACTCAAAATTAAGAAATCACAAGTTCCCACAAAAGTACATATTATTACCTTACTAATTTGAATTAAATCCCAAAAATCAATGACGATGTCTGGTGGTTTATACTGAAACACCATAACTTCTTTTGAATATATTATCTTTCTTATGGCTGTCAATCAAACTGCCATGTACACTACAAGAGATAGAATGTGTATTTTTAATGTTCGCATAATTTCAGTCTCATTTACTCTGATTTGCTTCTGCAAATATATAAGTTGCCCACTGAGCCTTAATACTTTGGTTCACCTAGACCAGTGTCAGCGTGGACATTCAATTCAATATACAGATTTCCCCAACAGCATAGACCATGTAGATGAGCACAAACTGGCAAATTGTAATTAAAGTGCCAAACAGGTATACATGATTATCACAATATACATCCAGCTTCTGGTTAGAATATAATAAATAATAACAATAATGACATTTATAACATAGACTTGCATGTTTGCATGATAGGTGCAGAAGGGACATGAGGAGTAAATATTAATCTGATTGTTTTAATTACCACCACTAGATAACACAGATGAGAATAAATAAATCCACTAATTCTATACAGCAAGACAGTTACAGATTTAAAATGTTTTGTATCAGTCCAACATGCAATAAAATTACGACATCAAGAACAAATATTAAGAACTTCCATTCGGTGGACATAATTAAAATAAATCCCTTGGTTTTCATTTTCCCGTTAAGCAAATGCAATTGTACACTTGGAGCATGATATTGTGCTCTTATCTCTACATGAAAAATTGAATGCTTTGGCATTTTCATTAAAAAAAAAATAACAAATGAAGAAAAACCTTCAAACTATGTCATATGTTCCTGTTGGCCACTACCCAGAATATCACCAATTCTGCAGTGGAAACACGCTCAACCATGCTGTTCATTTTGGAGTTGCACATCAAATAATACTATTAAAAGATAATTAAAATTAGCACATGACCAAGAAAGACAGCAAGATGAAAAAGCAAGTAGAAGTACAAGTATAAAATGTATTAGAAGGATGACCTCTGTACTCTAGAGTACAATCAATTTTTGCAATAGGAAGTTCCCTTTGCAATGCTGCATTCCTTTCAGAATAAAATTCTCCAGCTGATTTTTCGTCATAATTTTGCCTACACGTTTCTATTTTTAATGAAATCATACTGTGATCGGAGAGCTGAAACTACACAAAACTAATTGAAAAGTTCAAACGTGACTTGGATTAAATTCAATAAAACTTTCACATCCTTGATTTGGAGATGTACATTAGTCAAATAAATTAAAACAATGATGAAGATTAATAATTATACTCATATGTTATTAATATTTTTTATAGACTAATTGCAACATAATTTGCTTGGCATATCAAATGAGAATGTGATGTTTGCAGAGGCGGATTAATGAACAGGCTTGCCTAAGTTGCAGCCTAGGGGTCCAAAATGATCAGGGGGCCTCTACTGACTTTTTTATTATTATTAAAAGTAAAAAAAAAGATCCTTTATTGGTTTATATGTATGTGAGTTGATCAGCGGTTAAAACTTAACGGGGAGACCAATTCTTAAATGTATCTGGTATGCGTATGCGTAGTTTGTTTCCTACGTAAAATGGATTTTAGCAGCCTGATCAATGGGTTTAATTCAGGAAAGCACAGAGGAAAATATTTCAATAGTAAGAACTTGTTTGATATTGTTTTGGAATTTGTCCTTCTATGTAAAGTTATGTATGGTCTATGCTATATATATATATTGTGTCGAGTGCACATTGTGAGTACCATTGACACTGACATAATCTATTCCAGTTACCACTATTGAGATGTGTTTATTGAAAGAGGTTTCTGTTGAACTCTTTCTGGTTGCTGCATATGATGGATGTGAAAGTGTAAGCTTGCCAGTTGTTCTTGTGATGTGATTGCTCTTGTTTCCTTCAGAGTCACATTCTCTTTGACTTTATAGAAAATATCTTAAACTTGCTAATGTTTAATAGTTTTATCATTAACTGTTGTATCATTCTGTGGAATGGGGGCAGAAGAGGGCCTCACAGACAGTATAGCCTAGGGGCCCCTGGACTCGTTAATCTGCCACTGGGTGTTTGATATATTTCCCCTTCCATTTTTACTTTATTACTACCAGGAGAATAATATTTTTGTGCTGTCCACAGTTATTAAGCAATAAATTCAGCATAAGTGAGTAAAATTTCCTTCCTTATCATACCATAATATCAGCGTACAAGCTTCTAATATGACTAATATTTATTGTGCCAATTCTGTGAAGTTTTTAAGTCAGTTTAAGTACAGTCTGTAGTTAACTTGTTTATAAAGAAAAAAACACTCTTTTATAGATTTTTTTTAAACAAGGCTGTTTGGCTCTAAAACTTGAATGTAACTTTGCAGAACCACTAACATTAAGGGATGTATTACAGTTAAAAGTTTAAAAATATATCACATACTCAATGTACTCAATATATCAACAAAAATACAGACCTCAAATGCAAAGTAAATTTTTGCATTTTAACTTCCCCCATTAAATATGAGTCTTCCTCCCCGCTCCAATTGTCAAGCATGACACATGTCAAGCCCTCTCTGACCCTTATTGGCTTGCTGGCTGGCCACTCTGCAACTTTTATGTGGACCTGCTAAGGCCACTTTCCATTATAATGCTTTTACTTGTATTTCATCAAACATTCTAGCTTCTTCATACCTACTGATATCAACAAGCCTATCTTATAAACTATAAAATGTAAAAATAAATAAAACAAGTTGCTACCTTCTAAGTATCATCAAGATACGAGGGGCACTGAAAACTATTTGCTTACAAAGAACATATACATATAATGCTATATACAAATTATTACAGAAAATTTGTTGGCATTGAATAATGGCTAATGTTATATTTAATCAATTAGCATAATTACATTAATGGTTAAATTATAATTATATTTTAATAGATTTGTTAAATATCTTCTAATATTTATATAAATATTATGAACAGTGTAAAGTGAAATTAATCAAAAGTGTTAAATTAATCAACCGAAATGTGTAAAAAATTCTGAAAACAATTAGTTACTCAGGATTTTATAAATTGTTTTCTTTTGGGATATTAAATTTAAACAGTTCATATTTATATGCATCTCCGAATGAAAATGTCTTTATTTTGAATTTGAATTAAAGGACCAGTGGTTTCTTTGATATTACCCATGAGCACATTTTCTGTTATTCATAGACTTTTAGTGGTGGAATCCATTTTAGTTCAATTAAGACTAAAAGCAGGCAGGAATCCCTCTTTCGAATTGTCATAAAAGTGCATTCAAGTTACAAGCCATGTTAATTTAAATAAAATAAATTTTTGAATTGCTTACACGCTATTTTCTTATTTCACTTTACCTCCTTTTTGCGTCTTCAGATGCGAAACAAAAAATGGAACCAAAATGGTAGCAGTAAAGCCCAGGCCGGACCAAACAGAGAATATTTATCAGGAGAGGATGCAACACACGATATATAGCCAAACAGGTTAACTTTCAAAAATTGTGGGGAATATTCACCCATGGACTAACCAGCATGTAAAGTTTTGACTTATAAAATTCTTTTTCTGATTATATGTTATATGTTGTCAGATAAAATCTTTTTTTTTTTTTTGCTTTTTTTTCCCTAGGGGTATTTGTCCTACTCTTTCTGTGGCAAATCTGCATAGTTCAACTTCCATTCACGCATCACTCTTTTACTATGTTTCATTTCTACTGCTTCTTCAAAAAATAAGTCTTGTCTTGCTGGTCCCATTAGCACACCAAAATGAAAAGTCTGGCCCAGTGCTAAGGTATGCAGCCTTGCAAAGCTGTAAAATAAAATGCATAATCATCATAACATCGGTACCACTATGCCTAACCCTCCCTCATTACAAACCCATGATGGCTCAATCTGAGCATCTTATTGTTAATGTAGCAACTTGTCAAAGTTTTCCTTTCATGACATGATCAGTTTGTCTGTCCCAAATGCTAACCTAATCAGCTATATATTAAACTGCTTGACCTATGAAGAATTGACCAGTATTAGACTAATTCAGTGAAACTCTAATCAAACATGTTATTCTCAGTCACCCCCAACAAATTGTTAAAAACAATTAACATAATTGATTTTCATAGTCTTTCTTTTTCGGTTTTGTGCATTAACACATAATCCTGAAAATGCCTTTCTCAATAGCATACTTAATGACTAGTCACTTGCACTGTTCAGGAAATCCCTAAAAATAAATAAGTTTTAAAGGATTAAGAAAAAAAAAGAATATATATATAGACAGGTAGCTTAAAATGTGCTGTTTATGTTCAATACATTTAGTGTACATTTCTGTGATACATTTAAATGTAATTTATGTATGTAATTATGCATATTGGAACTTCCTTTTTTGTTCATTAATCAGCTTGTTAATGTGTCATTTTCATTCAGACCCACCCCCTTTTTAACTAATATCATTTTGTTTTGTCATTTCTCTAGTGGGTTTATCTAGTTTGTTGCCATGTCTAGAAGCCCAGCGTTCCACCGATACTAGATGCCAGCACGACTCCCAGTACCACACAGCAGATGATGATCATAATCTTCTTCTACAAGGAAACAAGGAAAAGACAGCATGGTGACCTCAGGGTGCTTAAATACTTGCACGTTTCTGAGAATGCATCTGTGTATTTTGTGTAGGCCTTACCTTACGGGCCTGGCTCTGGTATTTGACAGCTTTCTTTGTATCAGACACAGCTCGTTCCACATAGTCCACTGAGTGTTCCACATTGTATTCAATTCTATCAATCATTTCACCCTGTGAAAAAGAAAACATTATCAGCCAAGGACAATAAGGTACCGTCCGTCCGTCTATCTGTCCATCCGTCCATCTGTTTTCTGTAATCGCATATCCTATTCAGGGTCCAGAGCCTATCCTTGAGGCTAACTGCACAAGGCAGGGAATAACCCAGGATAGGGCGTCAACCCCAAGAAAGGGCTTCTTAAACTTAAACCCTGTAACTGTACAAAACTGTAAAATGAAACCTTAGTAAGCAATCCAGGACACTGCTCTATTTTGGTTAAGTTACTGAACTGAATTGTTTTAAGTAAAATTTAACTTCACCCTCTCTCACCTCACTTTTCTGTACTGTTATTACACAACTGCCTTTAGTCAGTTTGACCAGTCTTTTTTTATTTTTATAAATACTTTATGAAAATGTTTCAACTCAATATCTCAGTCAATATTAACCCTGTATTTTCAAAGGTTTATAGCTAGTTTGGAAAAAAATTGCAGTACATTGTACAATTTTTGCTCACAATATACAGTCTGTACTACTATTGCTTACATGGCATACAATATGCTTTTTGACTGTGAGAGGAAACCAGTGTACTTGGAGGAAACGCCACAACAACACCGGGAGCACATGCAAACTCCACACACATGGAGCCATGCCAAAGACTTGAACCCTGGTTCCAGCAGTGTGAGGCAACAGTACTAACCACTGCAGCACTGTGCCTTCCCATGTGCTTGTTACTTCCCATTAACTTAAAATTACAAATAAAATACAGTGGTACAGGGACCACAGTTGTCTTTCTTATACTACATTTGCATTATACAGTGTGTGCAGAATTATTTGGCAAGTGTGTATTTTACTTGTATCTTCTCTTCCGACCAATGTTTTCAGTCTAGATGAATCTCTAATTAAGAACAAACTGTTTAAAAACAGAGCACGTTCAGTATTTGGTCTGAACAGGTAAACACAGATACTTTTCTGTGCATAATTTTTAAGCAACTTCTTATTACTATTAAAATGGGCTGGAAAAGGATCTTACAGAGAGCACAAAAAACTAAATAGTAAAATGCCAGTCAGAGGGATGCAAAGCAATCGAAATTGCCAGACTTTTGAAACATGATCAGTGTTTTGTGGCCAACAGCCAAAGAGGACTGAAGAAGCATGTGGAGAGAAGAAGACACAAATTAACTGCTAAACGATCTGTGTCAAATTAAAGGGGAGACTTCCAGAGACCCTTTAGCATCAAATGCCACCATTCTCAAAGCTGTAATCTGAACAGAATCTCCGGAAGTACTAGGTGCAATGTGCTGCATGACATTGCTATGGTCACAAAGGCCAAAACATGACCTCTACAAGCTAAAACATCAAGAATAAGCACGGACACGTCTGACGCTGATGTTACAAAGGTTTTGTGGACAGATGAGATGAAAGTGACTCTTGATAGAACAGATGGATGGGCCAGTGAATGGAGATCCTCTTCAAGCATCAACAAGGTCGTGAAGGATAGATGACGTGGGCTGCAAATATCAAGTGATAAGCCTGTAGGACCTTTCTAACTTGCAGATTGTGTAAAAATTAAACAAAGGGTCTACTGCCAGTTTCTAGAAGATATTTTCTTCAATCACTGGCCCTAGAAGAAGTCAGCAGCTTTCAAAAAGGTTCTGATATTCATACAGGACAATGGTCCTTCCCATGATGTTCATGCAGGACAATGGTCCTTCCCATGATGTTCATGCAGGACAATGGTCCTTCCCATGATGTTCATGCAGGACAATTTTGACCTGCCCCCTTCATCACCTGACTCAACTCCCATTGAGAACTACTGGGCCTTACTAAAGTGTGACATTTACCAAGATGCCAAACAGTACACTTCTCAGGGCAGCATTTGGGAGGAGGCCCTAGCTGCCTTAGCTAATATTGGACAGGATCAAATCAAAAACTTGACTGGTTCAATGGACAAGAGGCTCATAAGTGTCATTGAGAAGAAAGGTGGCTACATGACATTAAACTTGGTGAAGTGGGCTTTATAGAACGAGTGATAGTTTGTTATTTCTTATATATACTAAATAACAAAAATAGTTTCTTATTATAATTGCTGTTGATAGAAGAAGAGAGAAAATCCACTTAGTTTCAGATTGCCTAATAATTGTGCACACTGATAAGTGTTTTCTTTTATTTTTGTTTGTGAAAGTCTAATGTAACATTATCTTATTTTCTTGGAGCAAAAGAAAACTGCTGATTTCATTTTTATAAGTCTGTCCAACTTTTGCTAAAAATTAGCTCTAGGAATAGTACTTGCCTAATAATTCTGCACACAGTGTATAGAAAACAAACTTAAACATCATTTCATCCTGAATGAATTACATAAATTTCATGCCCCTCCAAAATTTAGTGAGTCAATCCTGCCACTGTTTCTGGAATTGACTGATTTAGTTATTATATATAATTGTTTGACATCATATATATATACTTTAAACTACAATGTATTCCCTGGGGGGGGGGCTTCACCTCCACACCATCTAATCCCTATTCCACCCTGACCTCCAACCTCTACATTCTCTAGCCCCCCTACACACTTTCCTCATCTCTCCAAAAAATCTTTCTTAAAAACCCAGCTTTGTGTGACTTGTCTTAATGTAATCAGATTCACCTGATCTGCACCTGTGGCTATCCTTTCATGTGCCACCACTATGTGGCTTTGCATCAATTTCCATGTTATTTGTCTCAAAATGAGTTATCGTGTTCACAAGACCAAGTGGAATCTGCAGTTGATCTTCCCTTTGCCATTGCTAAGCAGCATTGCTTAAATTTTGGTGAATTTGTTTTCAGAATAAAATAGGTCCCAGATCATCACCTATACCACATACAGTATGACAAATTGGCCTGTGGGCCACTTCCAGCCTGCAGCACGTTCTTTTTTTGGCCCACAAAATTATTTTGATATTCTGTTAAAAAAACAGGACACCTCTAAAACCAAAGAACTCATCATAGATTTCAGGAGGATAAAATCTGATCTAGATCATATCCACATCAAAAGGGACTGTGTGGAATGGGTCTCTGATTACAGGTTTCTGGGCATTCACAGAGCCGATAACCTCTCCTGGGAAACCAACACCACCACACTTGTCATGAAGGCCCATCAGGAAATCTACCTCCTGGGGATCCTTATGAAAAACAATTTAGCTGAAAAACTGCTGATGTCCTTCTACCATTGCTCCATTGAGAGTGTGCTGAGCTACTGCAACGCGCAGGAGAGCACTCCGGAGGGTCATTTCCACTGCCCAGAAAGTCTGTGGCTGCCCGTTTCCCTCCATTGAGGACATTTACAGCTCTCACAGTCTCAGCAGAGCCACCAACATTATCAGACATTCATCTCATCTGGGACATTGCCAGTTTGAACTCTTGCCCACTGGAAGTTGCTACAGGGCCATCAAACCAAGAACAAACAGACTCAAACACATTTTTAATCCTAGAGCAGGGTTCCCAAACTACGGGTCATGACCCAAAATGTAGTTGTGGTTGTGATGGGTTGCTGATTAACCATGAAAAGCCAAATTTACAATATGGCAGCACCTGCAGTGTGTTGGGTCTTTGTATGCTCCTTTCAAACAACAATCCTCTGCAGAGGACACTGTGAAAGCCACATATCAATGACTGGTAAAGACAATTTCCCCATAGGGATCAATAAAGTATCTATTATTATTATTTACAGTCAGTCAATTATTTAGTCATAATAGCTAATGTTTAGTAGTCGTCAAAATGTTCAAACATAGATATAAAGAACAATAGATTTCATTTGGTTTCAATAAAGCATTATGTAATGGGGAGGAACGTCCTCAAGACATTTTGTGCAGAGAGGAACTAAGTAACAGGAGTTTTAAAATGGACAAATTACATCAACAGCTTCAAACAAAGCACCCTTAGCTGAGACAAAGCAAAAAAGTTTTTCCAGTTAAAAGAGTGTTTTGACAGTGGACAAGTAAGTTCAGAGTTAAGTGAGTGTCAAGGGCACATTAATTCTATGTGTCTTAGTGTTAATATCAATAGTAGTTAGAAATACAGAATTCAGTGACATTTCAGTTTGTATTTGTGGTTTTTAGGGTTTTAATGAAAAGTTGAGTCCATTCCAATACTGTTGTAAAGCGAATGGAAGAGATGGCAATGGACATTAAAAGTTCTGTAAGATAAGACATCTTACAGCACACAAAAAAATTGTGTTTCAAGTAGATGTATCTGTTGATTGTCTATGTAAGACACATTAATGGCAATGATATCAAGGAAGAATTCCTGTTCTGTAACCAGTTGCAAACCATTACAAAGGCAGAGGACATTTTCAGAGTGGTGGAAACTGGAACGGGTGAATTGTATTGGTATTTGTACTGAACGGGCAAGAAATATGACTGGGAATAACACTGATTTTGTGGCTCCTGTTCAAAGAATAGCTCCAAATGTGAAGCTCACCCACTGCAGTATGACCTGGGAGAGGTTTTTAATGTAGTGGTAAGGGCAGTAAATTTGATTGAAAAGAGATCTCTTCAAACAAGACTTTTCAGAGACCAGTGCAGGGAGATGGGGGCTAAACATGAACACCTACTCTTACACAGAATGAATTTGCCAACAATTCCCAAGATGAAATATGGCATGGAAAATTTGTCTACCTTGTGGACATATACAATAAGGTCAACCCACTACGAGCGAAAGAAAACAGCATTTTAGAGCTTGAAGATGCATTGCAGGGCTTCACAGCACACAATGGTCTGTGGCAGTCCCAACTGGATGGAGGAGTATTGGCGATGTTTCCTGCCATCTCTGCCTTTCAGAAGAAGACAGGTGTTTCTCTTTGTGATTCAGTAAAGCAGGCCATAGCTGAGCACCTGGCCAGGCTACTAGAGAATTTTCAGCACTACTTCCTTGACTCAAAGGGATCTAAAAACCTGCAATGGGTGAGGTATCCATTTCAAGTTGTCCTATCATCAGACCTGAGTCTAAGTCAGACTGAGTTGGAGTGACTGGTGAGATGTAAGATGTTTTTCAGGCAAACACATTTTTTGAAAAACAAATACAGGAACAGGTTAAATGCTGAGCATGACCTTTGGGAAGGACTTTCTAAAATGCTCCCAGAATAGACCTGCTTGTTCAAAGCTTTAACCAGTCACATAGCTCCCATTAAAACTCAAGAGTGCTCACAAAACTAGAAGATTTCTAATGCTGGGACAGAAAAATATAACAAATTGTAGCCTTTGGTACAGGTTGGGTAGGAGGTCAGGAAACACACAGCATGTTATTGTTCCATGCTGCCAATGTTTTGTCTTGAATCAATATTGAATCTGCGTTTTTATTGTTATATCAGATGTTCCATTGTGTCTATTTTGTTGTATGTGAGATGAGGGAGGGTGATTTTGAAGGGGTACATTAATTGTTATGAACAATAATACAAATTATAATATTTATAATATAGAAACCAACGTTTTAAAAGAAAATATTTAGTTGAAGAATAAATATTGTTTGCATACTTCAATTTTTGGTTATACTGTTAATGTAATGATATTTCATTATGTATTTTGGGTTTGGGTCCCAATCAGACAGCTATAAAGCAGGGAAATTCGTACCGAGGTCATGCCACAGTGCGAGATATCAATCTCAATTTTGGGTTTCCAGGTGAAAAGGTTTGGGAAACCCTGTTCTAGAACCATTATTTCACTCAATTTGGTCCAACCTTGAACATTGTGTCCTTCATGTTTACATATTTATGACCTCACCTATTCAGGACAATATTTACTAATGTGTATTTATTTTTACATTGTTTAAATGTAATTCTTTACATTCTTTTTATGTTCAGTTTTATACTCTATTTATATTCTGTTATCTATTTATATTCTGTTTATTCTTTTCTTTCTTTCTTGTCTTCTGATGCCGTTGTGCCTTGTGCAATGACAAAAAAGGCATTCGTTCATTCATTCATCCATCCATTCAACTATTCATTCATTCTCAATTCATTCATTCATGCCTTTGCTGCCACCTTGCGCTGCTTCACATTTGGTGTTATTTGTTTCAAAATAAAATCAGATCTTCATCCACATAATGTTTTTTCGTGGAGTGTTAATAAGTCCCATCAAATCACATTGACATGGTTGAGTGTCTTCTGTGGTCACCCCTCCGTTTGGTTCCACTAAATGGCCTTTTTTTGATTTTAGTGCATTTTGTCTCAAAATAAAATTAATTTCAGATCTGCTCCTATATAGTTCCAGTTAAGTTTGAAAATTATTCATCAAATAATTTTTGAGTTTTGAGGTGGCAGTGGACTTGTCCCAAACCATATGTATTCCCAGTCACATGCCCAACTTTAATTTGTGATTGTATGTTTGCATGCAATTCACAGACAAGCACACATAACTACAGTATAAGAAAAATGTTTATAAATACATTACCTGGCTCTCCACCAGCATGGCCATGTCCACAAACATATCGTGTAACTCACGAATGCTGTTCTCAAGCTTTATGATCTCAGTGTGTCGAGTCTCAATCTCATTCAAGGCTTGCTTGGTCATCTGGGAATCCATCTTGATCTATGAACAATATCCATACAAAAAAGACAGATGGGTTAGAAATTACACAACTGTCTTTATATATAATTGTTTTCACAAAACTATTTTAAAGTGCTTTTGTCCTGAACTTGTTGAATGAATATTTTTGTGAAATGTGTACAAAAAATATGAATCAATAATGAACTTGAAATACACATTGACAGAAAAGCATTAACCATTTCAACCCTATACATTTTTGAGCATTTTTCTATGCCTCTGATTTTAGGCTTATTACATGGTATGTACAGGAGTTAGTCACATATGCTGTATGTTTTTGTTTTCACAACATTCTGGGCTACTCTGATGATGTGTAAATGCTAACATATTCTTGATTTCATCCTTTTTATAAGGAAAAACTACTTGTGCCTATTGAAATTTATCAATTTTTAGTCTCATCTAATATAAAGATTTGCAGGCAATAGAAATATATTCTTATAAATGTTGAGATTAATTGGTACGAAAATCAATGCATTGTGAATTTGTCGGGTTCTAAGGGTTAACAAACTTTACAATTTTACAGCCAACAGTTCACAATTAACTGAATTGTGCAGTACTTACATCATCAGTAAAAATGGCAAGCTTGCCACTTTCCAACATATCTTCAAGCTCCTCGTTGGTAGTTGTTCTTCCAGCTGTAAAGCACAACATGTAGATTCTTTGTGATGTGACAATAAATTTTGGCACAACAAAAATGTGGAGTGAGACCATTTTGTCTCGATAATTTATTAAAAGGGGAAGCCAACTTCAGGATCTTACCAGCCAAAATAACAAACAAAAACACTGCTACATGGAAAGTTTGCTTCTTTACCTTAACTAAACAAGGATGAAAATAAAAATACATCACGCTTCCCTAAGTAGCTAAACTAACTAAAACAGTGAAAAAATAAATCAAAACAAAGGTGTGTTAGGGCTGCGATATACTTCACGCAAGGTGACGTATATGCAACACGACGCATACACAATGCAAGCAGTGTATTGACTGTACTTGCACGTGTATTTCTATCTGGAGGATTAAAGGTCATGTCCACCAGGGGGCAGTGCAAACCATCTTGATTGGCTCCTTTGTTTCTGGTCTCACTTGTTTTGTATGAGGCTGTGACATGAAATGATGTACACTTGCTGCGTCCACAGTGTTCAAGTTGCTAATTTTTAATACTGCTGCAGCATTCCCTATATTCTAATCACTGCTCCACATCGTACTTCGCTCTGCCATATATCACTTTACTACCCCAATGTTGCATTGTATGTTGTTAGATATCTTGTAGTAGTTAGTATTTCGTAATTAGGCTGCACAACACTGGAAAATATCAATTTCTGCAATAAGTATTGCAGTACTTATAAAGAAAAAAATAGTTAAAAATGAATCAATTTCCACAAACACGTCTATTCATGAGTGATTTAAACAGCAAGGATGAAAATGATTAGGAATGGCTTGAAAAGTGTATGCAGAGCTCATGTAAAAATAGCAGTGGTAAACTAATGTTAAAAAAATACTAGATAATCCTGAAAAGGAGCGGTCATTAAAATTGCACAGTTTGCTAAGTTTTGTTTCCTATCACACTATAAATGTGCTAGTGAAACATAAACCACACACTCTCTGCGAATTTTCTAACCAAGATTTATAAATACCAGAACTGTATTGAAAAATAACGCTGCTTATGAAAGTAGTCAGAATTTCAAGTTAGAGTTTCATTGTACTTCGTACACGATACTGTTTTCTTAGGAACTTAAACTGCCATTAAATTTTGAAGATGCTAATACTGCTCGAAATATTTTCACTCTTGCCTCTGAAAACATATAGGTCTTCTGAGCATTCATTCTTAAAAAATCAGATAATCAGTTACTTTAACACTAACTACCGTATATAAAAACATAGTCCTGTGTCAAAAGGTGACCATACTGCCACCCCTATTTTTGGTGATACTGCATCTCGTGTACGCATAGCGTTAACTCCTCGCATAGGTGCACCTACAACGCACGGAATGAATGCAGAAAATGTGAAGTGGCTATGATGCGTACGCATATTTTTACCCTCAAGTAAACATCAGCCCTTCCATTCCCTACTTTCCCAACTACTCACAATGTACACAATATTTACAAATACGTACAAGCTATATGCAAAAGGAATCCAAAGCTAAAATATTAAACAGGCTGGGCAAAGTGGTAACTTGAGTCAAGCACAATCAAAGTTCTTATTAGCTACAGGACACCTGAAGCTAAGGCTCCAAAAAGTACAACGGGCAGCTTCAGGTGAAGCCTTGCATTCAGGCTTGTACCACTTTCAGAGAATGATCAGAGACAAATGAGGTTTCCCTTCCCACAGAGAGATGCTATTGGTTTATTTAGACTCCTAAGAAGGAGGGTGGTCACCCTGCTCAGTGACCGGAACTGGGAAACCAGGGAAACAAGGCAAGACACAGCATAGAAATTCGAACAAACTCATTCGCTTATTATACCACATCTGGGGCAGCCGATGTGCATGCAGTGGGGTCACAGGATGCTGGTGAAAAATGGACTATTGAACTAAGAAAAAAAATCTAATTTATAACACCAAAAGTGGAAATTTGCATTGCGATGTGAAATGTCTGAACTGGACACCATGCCAGGCAAAAGGAAGTCATCTCCATGGAACTGTGCAAAATCTCAACCACCGCAGTATCTGAATTACACCTCACTGGACAATGACTATCCACCCACCAACAACTGATGAAACAAAGACAGTTTTACCCCGATGGTGAAAAATGAGATGCTGGCATTAGCTTTATAGTGAACAGACGGGCTACTGGAAGTGTAATTGGCTTCCAACCAATACTGGTTCATCTGACAGCCCTCACCATTTATCACACAGTGAAGACCCATATCCTGTGAAGTTATACCCCAACTGATACCAACCTGGATGCAACCAAGGATGACTATTACAAAAAGCTCACACACACACTGAATATGATCCTGCATACCAAGTTGACCATATTGGCGGGAGATTTCAATGCCCATATCAGTGCAGACAGGACTGGATGGGAAGAGACACTGGGTAGATTTGGTCATGGCAAGATCAACAACAATGGACTATGCCTGCTGTCCTTTGCTGAATCAAACAACCTGGTAGCAGATAGCTGCCTTTTTCAAAACCCTCACAAACACTAGCTTATATGGAACAACCCATTTGGTAAAGACTCAGCCATTCTGGACTACATCCTGGTGAGCTCCTGATTTTGATCATCACACAAAGTTGTGTGAATAATGAGGGGGCCTTGTGCAATGAGGGGGACCGTCGATCTGACCACTACCTCGTCCATGTCATGGTACAAGTGTTATCACAACAGATAAGGCGCAAGGTACTGCCACCAACCAAACTAAACTGGGCCCATCTGAGGAACCCTGTAGTCAAGCATGATTTTCAAATTGCCATATCCAACAAATTCGTAACAATAGAACAGTTGGATGATATCAATGCAGAAGAACAGCAGCTATCAGAGTCCAACCTAGAATGCACCACCCTTCTGTGTCAACCCATCCGCTATTGGACACAGCCGTGGATTTCGAGTGATTGGAACTGGTGGACAAATGGAACCAAGCCAAACATGTTGACTTTGAAAAATACCATCAACTGAACAAATGCATCAGATGGAAGATGAAGGCAGAATGACAAGCCTCCTGGAATAGTGTCGTAGCTGATCTAGAAGAAGCAGCATCCAGGCAAGAGTACCATATTCTTCATCAGACCCTCAGGAGACTGAGTGGTAAAACCACAGCAACCAATGACAACATCAAGAAGGTGGATGGCACTTCTGTTCCACTAGTGAACATCTGCAGAAAGGTTTATTCCAACAGCTATATAAGCACAATCCATGCCAGGGACCACTACCATAGCCACAACCTATCGACCTGCCGGAGAATACATTCCTTGATGGTGGTAATGAAGATTGCAATAAGAACAGTGAAGAATGGAAAGCCACACGGTATGGATCAAGTCACTGCTGAAATAATCAAAGCTGGAGGAGACGTCCTGCTACGATAGCTCCACGTTCTCCTGGCACACATCTGGCACTCATCAGCATGGAAAAATGCCATCATTGTGCCAATCCTGAAGAAAGGTGATAGCTGGGAAGGCAAGAACTACCGAGGCATCAGCCATTGGCAAATTTTTCATCAAGATTATACAATTAAGGCTGCAGAAACATCGTGAACAGACCAGCTGAGAAGAACAAGCGGGATGTAGGCCACACTGAAGCTGCATTGATCAAATATTTGTCATTCGTCAACTAGGAGCGGAAAGAATCAGATGTGGAAAGCTTGCCATTATTGTCTTTGTTGGCTTCAAATTTGCATTTGATTGTGTTCACTGGCCCACCCTGTGGAGGGCATTAAAAATGAGCACATACCATTAAACTTTTCTCCAGCTTCTCCAAGTATCATACAATAGTTCAACCATCAGTGTGCAGATCCAAAACTAATTATCCATGGAATTTTCTATCCAAACTGGAGTCCACCAAAGAGATATTGCCTCTCCCCTGCTTCTCAATATCATGATTGATGCCATTATGAGGAAAGCATTCAAGGACAGACAGGGAGTTCAGTATGATGTAAACAACTTCCTGACTGACTTGATGTTTGCAGATGACAGTGCCATATTCACCAACACGGAGGCAGAGGCAGGGGTGTCAGAAGCATGTTGAATGTGGGGGGGACACACTGGCATAAAACTAATATTTTATGTTAAATGTGGGGGGGGGGGGGGGGGGGTCCAAAGGAATAATTATGAAATGTGAGATTTAATGACGGCGACGCCCATTGGCAGAGGTTAATGACATCCTTTATCATATAGCCCACATTGCCCAATCTTATGGTCTAACAATCAATGTGGACAAGTCCAAAGTTATGACCATGGATGGATCACAGGCTAACATTTATCTTCGTGGAGTCCAAACTGAGCAAGTCCAAGAATTCAAAAACCAAATTTCTTAAATTCTTAAATTTGAATGCGATCAGGATGGAGATATTAATATTTTGATCCCCGTTTGCTGTCAGGCATGTAGTTTATGATATGAGGCCAGTAGGAGACATTAGACCACAGGCTAAGAATCTTTTCATTTAATTCGGATTTTTAATTTGACAAACAAATAAATGTGGTCGTGAAGCCTTCTTTTTCATTATCTCAGAATTTTAAGCAAAGCTAAGCATATGTTCTCTTTTACCGATTTTGAGACATTGATCCATGGTTTTATTTACTTGCGCCTTGACTATTGTAATGCACTTTATTTTGGGGTCAGCCTGACTGCGCTGTCTCTGTCTCTGGAGCAAAATGCTGCTGCGCTCCTAATTCAGTCCAATTTTAGCATCTTTACACTGGTTGCCAGTGAAATTTAGAATAGATTTAAAAGCTGTACTGTTCATTTTTAAAGCATTGAATGAGGGAGCACCAGCCAATATCAGTGACCTCATACATCCCGACTGTCCACGGAGAGCACTGAGGTCATCCAATCAGCTGTTGCTCACTGTACCAACCAGTCGTTTGAGGTGGAAAGGTGACCTACTGTAGCTTTCTACATGGCTGGGCTAAAGTTGTGTAACAACCCAGCTCTGCATGTCTAATCTATCCCCAACCACTGAATGTTTTAAGTCGAGACTAAAA